GGGTGCCCCTAGAGGGCTGGGGGCTTTAAACTCAAGCCGTGCACCCTAGAGTTGCCGGAATCCCTGTCTGTCATTCAGCAAACACTGACTGAAAGTCTGCGCTTGCGGGACTGTGCTGTGTGCAGCGAGGCAATGGTGGGCGAAGCTTTTTAGTGAAGCCTCAAGGTACTACAATTTTTCAAGGAAACTCCACTTCCTTCCGAACTAACTGGAGGTTCATTGACAAGTGCTTTTCCTCTTGACACCAGTCCCCCTCCTGCTATAACAAACTGTCCCACAAACCCCAAACCACCCCAGCCTGAACAGGGGATGAGCTGCCCCCTGACTGTATCCTATTCCTGTGTGGCTGATATAGGACGGGTGAATCCCAGAACAGAGTCCTTGAAGACCCAGAAGGGAAGCACTGTGCCTTGTTCTGCATCTCCAGGGCAAGGTGGGGTAATTCCCACAGCCTCAGAGACAGAGTTCAGGCACTAGAGGTCTTGTCCCCAGAAATGATGCCTGTGGGGCTACCCCTACGATTTGAAAACCTGGGCAAAGAGCATTCAAATTGAAATGATAGCAAGGGTAAAGAAGGACCATTTCTAGTCACGACTGAAATATACTGGCTGCTTTTTTTCTTTAAAAGAAATTGCCCCAGATATTTTCTACTTGATGCCCATTCTGTAAAGTCTGTTTCTCTTTTCATTCTCTGTTTTTTTAAAAGACAGGGTCCTGTTCTGTTGCCCAGGCTGGAGTACAGTGGTCCAATCACAGTTTACTATAACCTTAAATTCCTGGCTCAAGTAATCCTCCCATCTCAGCCTCCCAAACAGCACTACAGGCATGCACCACCATGCCCCACTACTTTTTAAACTTTTTTGTAAAGACAGGGTCTCGCTGCGTTGCCCAGGCTGTTCTCAAACTTCTAGCCTCAAGCAGTGCCCCATTCTGGTCTTCCGAAGTGATGAGATTACAAACACCAGTCACCACACCCGGCCTCCTTTTCATTCTTTATGCAGTTTCATGGGGCAGGTTGAAGTGTTTGGTGCAGATACCATGTAAACTGGAAGGGCAGTGGATGAGTCTTGTTTCCACATAGATTGCTGGGCATGAAAACGTAATTTATGAATTAGAAAGTGTTACAGAACATAAAAATGCTGGTGTTTCTCACCTTTCAGGAGCCCACCGTATTGTAATCACTGCATTAGTGGAGTGCCACAAGAGAGTTACTCAAAGGCAGGGTTAGAAAGTATCAGAGCAGTGTCATCCTGTCTGTCAAGTGAGGAAACCCTTGGGGAGTTGTCACGGAGGATTTTCCCATGTTCTCACCTCCGACGGACAGAATCTTCACTGTGAATGCATCTAGAGTTCAAAGTTAGCATCTGAGAGAAATATGTGAGTCTCACTCTTTCCGATGGTCTATGTTGTCCTTTTGAATATGAGCTTTTCATGTTATTTGTTCAAAATTTAGCAGGCCAAAATATGTCTCTTATGTAAGATTGGTGAACCTTGGTTGATGGGGATAATTCTTAAACACACCTAAATTTCACATCAAGTGAAATGATTTCCCTTCAATGAAATCTTTCTGGGAGGACAATCTCTTTCTTCAGCCAGTATTTGGGGGAACTTTTGGAACCATTTTCAGGTTCTTGGGTATTTTCTCTCATGAGAAAATTTTCTTCTTCATCATAATTATTTCAGGGAGATCTGACAGGTGAAAAAAGTGACAAGTTAGTTGCTCGAGTTAAGTCTGTAATGGCCAGGAGGATGGGGGTGAGTGTCCAACACAATGGCAACCCTGGACAGGAAACTTCACCTGATTCAAATCCAGTCTGGGTGTTTTAGCAGCAATGTGGTGAGACTGACGGAGAAATTGAATAAGTACAAACGGCTATCACTAACAGGGTGGATGATCAGATTGGGTAATTTCATTCCAGATCAAATGCCGATGCCATAAAAGACTATTTTCTTTCTTGTTTTT